CTAACTTTCAACATTTTTAGGATATCTCGAGAAGGGAAGCATATTTGTTGAAAAGAAAAAACGGACCTGAGACAGAGTACAAAGTATGAGTGGCAAAATTTTCAGCTTGATCAGACCATTTTTTTCAGGGGTGGTAATGTGACCTGATGAAAACTAGTTTTCCACAAAATCCGTAGAAGATCGTGTCAGACAATTGTGGACAAAAATATATCGATTTTCGTTTTCGATGTTCTGTCTTTGGTATAAATCTCACCCGGATCAAACATCGGCTTTCCCTGTTTTCAGGATGGTCAAGAAAGGAGGGTACCCTTAACACAAAAAGATTTGGAATATACCCAGAGTGACCTTTAAATTCATCTCTGTTGGAGAAAAAATATGTTTTTATAACACGCTGTTAGATTGTTTTGATATATCTTAATCTTTTTGGTCAAAGTAAGTAAAACATCAGAAACAATATGCTAGAAAAAGATCCAAATGATCAACTATAGGAGGGAACAAAAGTTAGCTTAAAATTTCTGAGCTTGTGTTGTCCACTTTATATATCGCAGTTCATTTATACAATCGATTTTCAGCCTTATTTTGTATTTGCAGGCTGTTTCGTCCAAGCTGAAGTTACAAAAATTACACCCGAATATGTTGAAGTTCACGGCCGGCAAGAACCGATTCGGTTCAATTTTCTGATTATTGCAACAGGTACGATTTTTATCTTAAGAACAAATAAAATTAAAATTTTTTAATTTTAAGCTTGAATTGGATTTAAAATGTTCTTTTTTACTGAGTTAGAGTTTGGTAGCATTAAGAACGTAAAGTAAACAAACTCCGGTCAATTTTTGATGTCAAAAGCACTTGAAAATTAAATTTTAAAAAGTTTAAATTCTAGCTGGATGAAGTTGTTAAAACAAAATTTAAACGAAGGAAAAGTGATTTAAAATTCTGATTCCATCTCCAGTCATCGCGATTTGACATGATCTCTCAGACTATAAATTATTTCGTGCATAATGAAGTTCTCTGTGGAAATTAAACACCCGTAATGGTCCTCATAGAAAATGCTAAACTCTCTGCAGTTCCGTTATGGAGTATATTTCACTATTTTTATTAGAATTAACCATCTGTTAACAAAACTGAATAGTGATTCAGAAAACTTAAACCTTCAGCTTCATTTTTATATAAAGTTATTGTGTGATCAAAGTCTAGCTTTCGGAGAATTTCTCCATAACCGGAAATCAGCCAGAAAACAACTCTCTTTTCTGTAATTCCGTTACGATATCTACTTTTCGCTACAACTTTTGATATCGATTAAAGTTTTTTTTCGAAATACATTGGTCCAAGTTACATCTTCAAAAAAATGTTGAGCCGTTCTCTTCTGTGGTTTCCGAGAAACTGGTTGTAGAAGTTGTAAAAATGTAATTCCGTTACGTTTGGCCAAGTCCAATTCGAAAATATGTCAATCTCATCTTCATTTGTTTTTTGCTCTAAAAATAAGGTTCATCCTATGCATTTCCCGGTAAGGTTGCCGAACATCATAGTATCGACGCCTACACGAAATATGAACAAATACATAATAAAATCGAACATGCGAAACATACTCTTGTTATTGGTGGTGGTTCTGTTGGAATTGAATTATGTGGTGAAATAGCTACGGATTTCAAAGATAAACATATCACACTTGTACACACTCAATCATGTCTGTTACATCCAAATGTATTTAATTCACAAATGTATAAACGTATTCAAAGTCAATTAGAAGATTTATCTGTTAAAATAATTTTAAATGAAAAAGTTGATGTACAACAATATTTCAATGGAAATGAATTAAATTATATTATTGGTGAACGTATGTATGAAACAAATAAGAAAACACAAATAACGGCTGATTTAACATTTTTATGTACGGGTACAAAAATCAATAATAAAAGTTTAAATAGCACGTTTAAACAACATTTTAATTCTGAAGGACGATTAAATGTCAACAATTATTTACAAGTTGATGGTTATAAAAATATATTTGCGATTGGTGATATTAGTTCAAAAGAATCAAAAATGGCTTTTCTAGCTGGACGACAAGCTGAATTTGTTGCCAAATTAATACCATTAATACAATAGAACAAGCCTTATTCAAAAGAGTATCAACCATCACCATATCCAGTCATGCTTCTTACAATTGGTCGCAATGGTGGTGTCGGACAACTTCCAACTAAAAGTGGTAAAGTTGTTGGTAAGAACAACATCCTAATATGCAGCTCTAACTCTTTATGATCTTGTTCTTCTTGTTACTGAATAGGTAAGACAATTGTGAAATTTATTAAATCAAAAGGTCTGTTCACATCCAGATGAGTTAAATCAAAAATATACACCAACATCCATCGAAAAACAACAAACAATTGATCGAGAACATGATAAAACATATTTTAGAAAATTAAATTCATTGATATCGAGTATGGATTATAACGAAGAGGATGCTAAACAATTGATAAATGGGCTACCAATAAAATTATTGGAACCTGGTCAGGATTTTCTCTGAACATATATATATATATATTGTACATTAGATTATACACATAAACGTTAATGGCCATAAATGTATCAAAGACAACAAAAAAGAGGGTCTACTCATGTTTCGTTTTTGCTACTTCAAAATATAAATCCATGGGTTAACGGCGGTATGTTACGGTCTATCTGAAATGAAGAAACTGACGTCTAAGTTGTTTCAAGGCAGCGATTCTAAATGTTTGCAACGTGAACCGAATAAGGAAAACGTTTTTGTTCAAAGTGCCATAAGAATCAGTCTGATGGGTTCATTTACACTGAGCACTGCTCGTTTTTCAAGCACTTGAAAATACTCTTGGCCAAAAGCGATCACACGGATTTTGCAAACACTATTATTGAAAATACATAAACATCGACAAACAATTCGCATTATGGCCAATGAGTAGCGAATTTCAGGAACTACATTTAGTCAAAAATCTAGTATCGCCCTATTCATCTAGATTACTAACTTTTTACTCGATTGCAACTATTGGGTAACGACAGTGAAAAATTTAGTAATCGGGCAATTGCTAGATTTCTTCTAGTTGCACCTATCGATTCATCATCCGATAATCGATCAATTTAACTTTTGCTAGATGCACACGCAGATACATTTGGAAACGATTTTATGCTCTTTGGACTTCTAATTCGTATAACTTTGTTAATTTTAATTATCTTTTTGCGCTCTTTTTACAGGTAGGTAGAGGAGGAAGTTCTCTATAAGCCCGTCTAAAAATTTCCAAAAACCTGCGTGTCCTAAGCGAACTTCCCGGTGTTTTGCTGAAGGCTCTAACGAACATTTCCAATTACCCCACTTGGGGCAATTGGAAGCAGCAATAGAAATTGATGGGGTAATTGGATACGCCATGTATTTTA